CCCCCCCCCTCATATCATATACTACACTATACCATATCTTACCCCTTGATGGAACAGTCCTTCAATCACAGATGGATCCATTTGGGAATTCTTGTCCATTTTAGAAACCAATGGTTTGATCTTGTCTGTTGCAAATCTAGCAACTAAAAACATTGTATGTACATTAAGGTTTGTATATTTTACTCCATGGAAAAGAGAGAGAAAAAGAAAGAAAGATTCTGCTCGCATAGTACTACAATTGTTACTCGTTTGCCTTACCAGCTTCTTTCATCATTTCCTCTTCATCAGATAACAAGTCTACAGGTAAATGTGATATTTTATCTGTTCTTGTATCGTATTTATTTGCAGCAAATGACGAGCACAAGTGATATTTGGTCTTTAAACCCTGTGGAACGATTCTGCTCATCCTATTTAAACTCCAAATATTGGATGATTTGAATAACGATCTAGAGACCTGTTAAACACACAAAACACAAAATAAAATATTTTTTCATCATGAAATATCTCATAAACATTGGTTGACATACCGATGACAAAGCCATATTTTTTAAATTAATTTTTAAAACGAAGAATTTAGTATTTTTTCTGCCAAGCCATGAATATTATTGCATAACACGCCCGCGATGGGGTCAGCGGCGATTACCCACGAGTCTTTTCGCGCATAAAAGTTTGCTAATTATTCGCGCGAAATTTTTGAGATGCGGGAAATTCTTAATTTCCTGACTAATTTAATTAAATCATTCGTGTATCATGCAACTTTTTGTTCTACACGTTTCGGACTGTCACAAGACTTGTGCGGAAAGTGAATCGAGTACTGAGAATCGAAAGCAAAGCCGCTCGAAACCTAATCCCTTTCACCTTCTTATTCTAGTAAATTTCATTACACACCTTCACATTGTGCATCTTTGCCTTTTTGAAACAAAAACGACAACAAAAGGAAATAAACTGATTTTATGGTCGATTGTAGCTTGGGGTTCAGTAGAATTAAGGCTACATGTTTACGAAGCAGCCCCTTTTTATATATAGACTATTAAAGATCAGAAAGGATTTATTCAGTGAAACGAAACAAAAAGCTGAAAGCTTTGTAATATGGTATGTTTTCATTTTCTAAATACCCATCTCAAGGGTTTCAATTCTTCAGTTGTTACGAATCCTCTTGTGTTTGCAACATCGATTGTTAAAACTCCCCGCAAGTAAATTGAGGCAAGCCATTTTCAGTCTTCTCTTATCGAGCTCAACATCAGGTCACTGAACAAACTTTGAACAATGTCAACTAAAGTTTTAATGGTTGCCGTGCTGATAAAACTGCTTTGTGCTATAGGTATGTATGTAGTCTGATATGCGTGATAAACCGGCTCCGCCTGCGTTATACTTTATTCGGCGATCACCTTTGGTTCACTAATTCAGTTTATAATTTCTCTGCTTTTATGTGTCAAGTATTTCCCTGTCAATGTATTTATTTTCTATCCAGCACGAATTGTGCAAATTATTTGAATTTGCTTGCAAGAAACTGTTTTTTCCCCCGTGTTGCGGCAATGCGAAATCGAGGAAGGCGAGGAAAGCGAGGAAACCAAAAATTCAGTATATTCATATTTAAGTTACGGACTTGACTAACTGTTTAATACTCGGTAAAGAATCATGAAGCTTACTGCACGGAAATGTAAAAGTCTGTGTAATCAATGTCTTGACAATTACCCACTAGGTACAGTCATTTCATATTTATATTATATTTATATTAATAAGTAGATTATGTATTTTTGGTTTCCTTGGTTTCCTCGGTTTCCTCGATTTCGCAATGCAGTGTTGCTAATCCTCGGCAACTTCTCAACAGTTTCAACCAAAAAATGTACCCCAAATTACACTTTATGAAAGAGGTCTCCAGTCACCGATGAGTTATCGAGCATCTCCCAGTGTGTAAGTGCACTGATTGTAAATTTGGTGCAAGTCTAAAAACAAATCTATAACTCTTTTTTCTTTTAAATCTTATTTAAGAATGTTCGAGTAATTCTTCGATCATCGAACAGTGGGAAGTTCTGATGTCTATTTACAATTCTACTAATGGCGAACAATGGTTGAAGAAAGACTTTTGGAACTGCAGCGGAAATCAAGTAAACTGTCGTTACTGTTTCTGGTACGGCATCACATGCGACCTCTATTCTAATGTTACGGCTATTGTTCTAATGGATAATAATTTAACTGGATCTCTCCCACCTATGTTATGGAAATTGAGACATTTGGAAAAACTTGTTCTGAAATCTAACAAGAATTTAGGTGGAAAACTAGAAGATTTCATCTATGGAAACATGACGAAATTGAAAGTAATTGACTTGTCGTTTTGCGGTTTTGAAGGCGCAATACCCGAAGAAATATCTTTGTTGACAAATCTCGAGGAACTGCGGCTTTGCAGTCAGCGTGGCACGCGAAAACTAAATGGTTCGATACCTCGAGGCATAGCTAAATTAACCAAGCTCCGTGTCCTTGGTCTTGGAGAAAACACCTTAACCGTTCCTTCGCCGTCACGGCTATTTGGTGGTCTAACAAAACTAGAGGTACTCGATCTTGAAGATGTAACTATTAAATCAACATTTGATGTCTTTTGTAACTTGACTGGTGTAAAGTCTATGAACTTGTCGAAAACTGGACTTCATGGTGAGTTGCCTCTAAATCTTGGGAAACGTTTTCCAAAGATGGAGGAGTTGTTGTTACCAGGAAACTATTTGAGTGGTTCCATACCTAACAGCATTGGAATGATAACAAATCTTACAAGACTAAGCTTGGCCAATAATAACCTTTCTGGTGTTATCCCAGGCAACATTACTCTTGCAACTAAATTATCATTCATTGACCTTACGGTAAACAACCTCTCGTCTATTCACAATGAATCTCTTTTGCTCTCACATGATCTAGAAATCCTTTTGTTGTCGGATAATCCAAACCTCAATGTCAGTTTTGCACAGTTCTTGCAGAGCCCGGACACGAAAACCAACTCGGGTCCAGCCAAGCTGAAAGTTCTTATCATTAGTAATTGTAGTTTTTATGGCAAAATTCCGAAATCAATCTGGTCGTTTGGGAACTTGATTTACGTGAATGCTCGATACAACAAGCTAAGCGGTTATCTCCCCGAGGTACTGGCTCCAATGTACACTCTTCTTCACTTTGATGTCTCTCACAATCATCTGGAAGGACCAATACCGTCGACTCTAACAAGGATCGAATCTCTACATCGTCTCGACATCCGAGGAAACCACAAAATGACTGCATGTAGTGAATGTAAAAACTACACGTGTTGTAAGGCAGTAATTAAACAACATGGTCTAAAGATTGACTTCAAATACATGCTGCATAAATCTCATGCCGGTAATTTCAGTTGTCCTATGGCTTTTCTCAGGGTAACCAATGGTCCAGTGTATCTAGATGCAAGGTATTATGAATATATGTTCTGTAAATGTGACCCAGGTTATTACGGTGAAGGAAGAACATGTCGAAGATGTATGAAGGGCGGGAAATGTGTTGACACCGACAGGCACCACATGATCATCCGCAAAGGATATTGGCCTGAGCCAGGCCCTAAAAATGTCACTCATTTACACATTTGTGACGACAAGGAGGATTTTTTCACCGGGGGCAGACGTTTAACGGCATGTAATCCTAGTGGTAATTGTAGCTGTCATCTCACAACCTCAAGTAGTAGTACACTAACTACATGTAGCAATACGTGCTTGTGTAGGAAAGGAAGCATTGATAGACTTTGTTCTCGTTGTCAGAAGAGATGGTACAAGTCTGGTAGCATCTGCCGGGAATGTCCCTCCCACCACCACGCCACTTACATCTTCATTGGTGTACTTGTTGTAACTCTTCTCATCTTTGCCGCAGCTTTACTTTATTTGAAAAACCGTCCAAGACTCGGTATACTTGTCATCTACGGACAAATCATAATTTTATTCTTTCTTCGTTTTTTTAACGTGATTCCAGCCTGGGTATTTGAAATCAATGTTATCATTCTACTCTTCTACCTTGCTGGGATAGGTAGTTCAATGAAAGGTCTCCTAAAGATTGCCGTATTTTACCTTCAAATCCTTGATGCAATGTTGTCTACATACAAGATGTGGCCCAAAGAAATATTACAATCCCAACATTACATCAGCTCCCTAATCAACTTCAATTTTCCAGGCCTAATGTGTGATATTCCAGATCTCTATACCCCAACTGGTCAATTCAAATTACTCATCCTTCTTCCAGTCGTATGTATTTTCATTGCATGGCTTTTTTATTGTCTTGTGTGGATAGCCGATAGAATAAGAGCAACTCGCTGGAACGTTCTGTCGATTAAGTATCACTGCCTACAGATCTCCGTCACATGTCTGAACCTTACCTACTTCCCTATAGGTCTACGATCTATTGCTGTTCTTGCCAGCTGTCGAGACCATTCGTCACACATGCGCATCGCTCCATGGATACCGTGCAATAGTCCAACCAACAGTTTCCTTCGGACACTTGCTTGGCTGTCTACAGTTATATATGTGATTGGTGTGCCTTTGTTTGTGTTCCTGCCTCTGTTGTTGCGGTATGTAAGGGCGCATAAACTTTCTAAATTAACAAAACAAGAAAAAGAAGCCTTGGACAAGTGGCTGGGATCGATCTATTTGCCATACAAGGAGAAGTGTCGATCATTCTGCGAGGTTTATGCCTTACTGCGCAAACTCCTATTGGCTTTTCTGATTGGCTACATCCCTGAGGTGAGCTCACTGCAGACTTTCTTCGTGTCAATGGTATTGGCAATCGCTTTGATATTTCATCTTGTTTGGCAGCCCTACCAGAGCTCTCTTGGTTGGCTTCCTATTGAGAACATCCTGGAGACTATCGTACTTGTCGTTTTACAGCAATCTTTTATTTTATTGCGATTTACAACCGTTGAAAAGCCATACAAAAAAAAAGTACATCTTCTGTGGATTATTGTAGTAGTCAATTGCATGGTGGTGTTGATTTTAGTGGTGATCATTTCAGTKCTACTCGCCAAACACGCTGCAAAATCGCTTAAAAACCGGTCAAGAAACGAAAGTAGTAGGACAAATAAGTTTAAGAATGATCTTCTGTCGTATTTTAGATCAAAAAACAGCCTTTTCAAACCTCTTTTGATGCGAGAGGATAAAGATACTTCTGAAGACGAATAGATGCTTCATTCGTTTCATGGTTCCGACTTTCCCTTAGTTACCGCTTTGCTATATCGGTTCCACAAGTTAAACTGACAAATTATCCTAGAATATCTTAGAATTTAAAACCGGCTCTAATCGAAAGTAATTGATTAGACATCGTCTCAATAGTTTATTTGTCTGAGTCGGAACTATGACTTATCAATGATAACCGGCCCCAGGGTGCGAGGGGGGCAACCACAGCAGAATTTGACATTTTGCATTTGAAATTTTCAAAATCCACCCTCAGGATATATGCTTATTGTATTTTGCGGCTTGTTCAAGATGGCGTCCACGCCAAAATTCCCTACTGCATTCCCTAATGTCAATTTTCCAAGGTTATCCCCTCCCCCC